CTATAGCTTTGTAACCCTTTCCATTCCAGATTGGATGTACAGGTATATACTCACTATGCTCTTTTTTCGAACACGCACACACACCGGGGGGGGGGCAAGCTTCGCTTACTTTCTCTTCTTTTTTATCCCCCTCTCTTCCACACTTCTTCTTCCTGTCCTTCGACCTGGCCCCACTCATTGAACCCCAGCGGAGAAGAGGCCCCCAACGCCCCCCCAGACACACACACAACTTACCCCCCAAACTGCGCAGCAAGCTTGGTCTCAGCTGAGTCGCCTTCCCCTTCTTCCCCCGACGCAACTTTGGAAGAGAGGGGATTCTGGCTGCCCAGTCCCGAAGACCCCGGCGGGCAGGGGAGCGATGACATCAGGGAGCGTTGGCCGCAAAAAGCGGCGGGGAGCTGGTTGAGCGAGGCTCTCGGGAACCCATCCCGGGAGCGGCTGGCGCCAACAGTAAAAGGAGAGGCCGCCAGGAGCATCTTCCTTTTCCTTCCAAGGCTCGGCGGGAAGAGAATCGCGCGACGAAGGCGGCTTCCACTGAGCTCGTAGCCAAGAGACCCAGGTGTCTGGATGTCTTCCTCGTCCGGTTGTTCTTAAAGCAGTCCAGAAAGAGGCTGCGAGGCGCGGGTCCCGCCATTCGCCGCCTTCGCGGTTGCTTTTACTCGGGGAAATTCGCTCTCACCCTAGGCTGGCGGTGCGAGATGGTCAGGCGACTGCCTGGAAGTTGAGGAGTTTTTCTTTTCTTTTTCTGAAGCGAGAACGGGGGCTGAGAGGGGTTGGCCGCATCTCACGTCCAACAGGAGGCAATGACGTGTGTAGCTTCATTGCTATAACAGCGCCAAGGCTGCAATTGGCATTCATTGAAATGATAAGGGGCGCTCAGACGTAAGCAGCCTGGACCTTTCAGCAACCGACTTGGAAGCCGAGCCCTTCTGCTTGCAACACACACACGCACGCACACGAACGCACGTCCCAAAACAAAAGCAGAACAACTTTGAAAGCAATGAGAGAGAGAGAGAAAAAGGGAAAGGAAAGGAAAGCTTCAAGACGGCGTCTGGGCAGTTGCGGCCGCCGGGCAACACAATGCTTCTCGCTTCAGGTCAGAAACCTAGCTTAGTAATTGGAAAGTGACTCAACTGAATTTAAACAGACTGAAATTGACCAGACGCCGGTCCCTTTCTCTCGGGGGCGAGAGCGAGCGAGCGAGAGATAGAGAAAGGAAGAGAACTAGGGAACTCAGGTCCCCCAAATGTTATCCACTCTTCTCAGGATTCTCAGCCTTTTAACACTTGCGCCAAGAGCGAGGAAGTGTCTGCGCGCGCGCGCCCCATTCGAATTTGTGTTTGTCAGATGGGGTCAAGAACAAAGAGGGCGCCCTCTTGCTCCTATTAGATAAATGGGGATGGGGTAATGAGCAGACGAGTTGCCATATGGTGTAAGACACGGATAAACAAGAAACCGTTCCAGACGACAAACGTCCCCTGCTTCGGTCTATGGGTCGGTTGCTGCGCCAGGCAGGTGAGGAAAAACCTGGTAAATCCTCAAGACTATTCGATTTCAGGTGGGAAGAATTTGGGGATTTTTTTTATTTTTATTTTTTTGCTTTACACCGTGTCGTCGACGTGGAATTAATCTGTACTCAAAGCAGAAGGGAGAGCGTGTATGTGTTTAACTTAATAACCGCGGATATTTCTCTCTGGGCACACTCTAAAATCAGGTTTATGGGGCCAGCCTGCTAACCGCAATTCGAAAGAAGAAAGCGGTAAAGGTAACCGTCGCCACCCACCCACGAGCACGCCCCTCGCCATCCCCAGCTAAAGTACAAACTCGTGGGTTTTTTTTCACACGCGGCGGCGGCAGCTGTTCGAGTGGGTCTGAACAGGACTGCTTCGAAAGATGCTCGGTAACCCAAAGAAACTGCCTGCCAACAGCAGGCTGCTCCAGGATAGGAGCAAGCTCGGCCGCATCAGCTCTGCCCAGAGCTCCCATTGCACGTCGCGGACTCAAAACACACACGCAAGCAGACACGCGTTCTCTGCGGCAGTAGTCCGCCCACCCGCTGCCCGGACGGACCCCGCCCCGGTTTTTAATTCCCCCTTTGGAACCCGGAGGCATCCGGACTTTCCGTCGTAGCAAAGCCTTGGTGACAGACAGCTCCAGTCATCACGTGTCAATATGAGCGGGAGGGAAGAAGGCAGGACTACACTTACCGCCAGGGTTCTGACGTTAAGAATTTAACAATAAACAGAACAAGGTTGCTGTCTCACATTCTGGGCTAAGGTAGGATAGGAAGAAAATTATTGAATAAGTATCACATTCTGCCAGAGGTTGAGGTCACAAGTAGAAAACAGGGTCAGGGAACCTGTGGGCCTCCAGATGTTAGGAGTGTATTACTCCCATTGGCCCTGATCATTGGCCACGCTGGTGATGTGTTTGGCCTGTAGAGCAGTGGTTCCCAATCTTGAGCCTCCAGAGATTCTTGGACTCCAACTCCCAGGAGCCTTCACCACTAGCTTCTCTAGCCAGGATTTTTGGCAGTTGTAGTCCAAGAACATCTGGGGACCCAAGGTTGGGAACTACTGCTTTAGAGGATAGCTGTAAGAGTGGCGAAGCTGTGACCAACTTCACAGAATGCAGTTCAGAACCAAGATAGCCATAGTGTTCCTGCAAATGAACTGTTCAGGGGACTCCTTTTACACCACACCAGCTACTCAAGAGTGGCCATTTTCACTTTGCAGAGATCAAAACAGATGCATCAGGGTGGTTTTCAGTGTTGAAATAAGAGGAAGAGGAAAGTGTTCATAAGTCTTTCTGCCCTCAGATTGTTCTTCTGGTTTGAACTGAACATTGGTGTGCCTTATGTAAATCAACATGCTTCCTTGCAAAGAACTGCAGAGTTCCATGCAATGTGTAGCCTGCACTTTTGCCTTGAAAATGTGACATGGAGTCTCTTCTGAAAACAGGGAGAGGCCACTTAGTGCAATGAAAGGCTAGCTATGTCTCCTGTTTCATAGATACATCTAGACCATGTTCCAGTAAAGATAAAGAGCCATCAGAAAGAAGAGCAGCAGGAGGGCTGACATTTCCTATCTCCATTTAGCACCTGGAGAGTCAACTGGACAAATACACAGATTAACTGGTTGCAGTGTTTCCCATGATGGTGATAATTTAATTAAAGTAATTATTTCTAAATTTGCATCTTTTTTGATGATGTGCAAAGAAGGAAGGACTGGTAAACCACTTTGTTTATTTTATGCTATAAAATTGTATGTGATTTGCCATAAGTTGGCAATCACTTAACTGCATGAAATCAATTAAATCCCCACCCCCTTTGTGTGCATTTAGGTAGTGAGCCTGCCAAAACTTAGCGCTCCTTTTAAATTACTGCCCAATGCCTGGTACTTTAGGAACTTTAACTTTCAATACTAAACAGTTAACCACAGCAAAATGTGCAAACCTTACACAAACACCAATAGGATTTCAGCCAATATTTCAATTAACTTTGGTAAATTAAGCTGAGTAAGAGAACAAAGAAAAAGAATATCCCAGAAGGCAAAAGAGCTACCTACACACTGACATACATATTTCTGTTCACTCTGCTGCTTAGCAAAAAGATGGGTGGAGTGGCTTCAAGGTGGCTTAAGTTTGAGTTCTCCCTAGCATCTCAATGGTTGGAGTTTCTAGGGAGATCATCATAGGCATCCTTCAGTCTCGAGAGACTATGGTAACATGCTCTGTATGGAGAAGTGTCCTCTCCAGAGCATGAAGCCTGGGTAAAGTAGTATGGAGGATAGGCTGTTACCCAACCAGCATATCCCCCCTCCACATTGCTGAAATGGTCCAATGGAAAGGCAAGAGCCAATACAACTGGTTCCAGCAACGTTGCAGGAGTTGGCAGAATGACACGAACTGCCTTTGGGACTCCAGCTCCGGATTTTTGCCTCTAGGTTAACTCCTGAAGCCTTTTCCATGACTGGATATAGCCACAAGGCAGTGGAGGGAGAACTTGAGCTTTATTAGAGCTTTTCAGCTATCAGTTATGCCGTAAGCATCTCTGGTTTATTGGTTTATTGGTAGGTTCATAAAAGATCAAAATGACACCTCTTGCTTTATATGTGCAAGTTCTACAATGGTTTAAAGGACAGAAGTGGCTAAATGGACCTCCTTCTGGACTCTCCTTGCTAAAGTTTTGGAAAGAATCATGATAAGAATGCATTGTGGGCTTTTAAATAACTTATACCATGCTATTCTTTATAAAGTTTGAAGAATCTCAAAACAAATCAACCAAAATTCTTTAAAATAAAATCAACCCAAAACTCATGGTAACTAAACACAGCAGTAGCCCAAGAGATAAAATCAGTTCAAAACTTTTTGAGCAAAACACCATTAAAAATAAAAAAATAAAGACACACTAGGAAATGCCTTTCACAAGAGAGTAACATGTCAGCCAGACAGTGAAGTCAGGCCTTTAAAGACCATTAGCCGTGTACATGGAAAAATATTATTGTTTCTTTTTTTAACATGATAGCAGAAGACCAAGGAGGAGGAATGAAATGAATTGTCTGGAGAAAGAAGTTCCAAAATCTTTGTATGGCAACTGGGAAATTCCTCTCCCTTGTTCTTGTGCTTGGAAATGTTTCTTTTCATGGCTATGGCATACTGATTAAAAAAATATTCTGAGTTTTAATTCAAAATAATAACTTTTCTGAACTCCAAGGAAGTAATTTTTGCAAGCTCCTCCCCATTCTTATTAAGCTTAACTTCAGAACCTAGAGGAAGCCCCATGCTGGCAATTAGAACATACAGATCAGCTCCCAAAGGAGGCGGTCCTTCAAATGCTGCAGCCATGAACCAAGTTATAACCAACACTTTGAGTTGGACCCAGAAACAAATGCACAGACAGGTCGAGCAGGTAAAACACATAGCCCAGGTTATCTGATGCCAACCCTGTAGCTGAATGGGAAATGCCAGCACGCATGGTGTGGAGATCACCAGTGCACTGAAGAAGAAATGTACATTAGACCTATGGACACATCCATACCAGCACAGCCTTAAGCTTACTCAGAGCATGGATCAGTTGCTCTGTGGACTACAGCACCCAGAATCCCCCAAGGCAATGCAGCCACTGTTGTTCAGAAGGCACTTTTCCAAGCTCTGAAACTACTGTTTTCAGAATTAGGCCCTGAATTATTAAGTCTAGTCTGCATGGCATGCAACTGAAGACTGCAGCCTTTAATCTGGAGACAAAGATTGCAATTGATTTTAGTTCAATTAATACGTAAGTTCTGCTGACTCAGACCAAAAAGCCTACATAATGCTGCATCTTGCTTTTACAGTGGCTAAGCAGATCCCTATGAGAAGTCCACCAGCACAGCATGAGTGCAAGAATGTCTTTCTGCTCATGTTCCCCAGTGCCCAGAAACTGTTATTGAGAGGCAGAGAGCTTTGATCCTGAAGGTAATAAAACAAAACCATCATGATGATTTTGGTGATGGTATTTCTTAGCTGCTGCCTTTTTGCTTCATCACCAAGGACCTTCCATAAACACAGTTCAATTTGCAAACACTTTATTTTTCATCAGAAAGGTGGTGCCAGCCCAACCTGTCAGTTGTGCTTACAAAGAGCCATTCATGATGTTATTTACTGACTTGGCAGAACTGACTGCACCATACTATAAAGGGCATAAAATTGAAAATCCAGACAAGAGAGACACATAATACTGCCAAACCACCCTGGTTCTTTAAGACAGTTTGGAGATGCATAAGAAAGCTTTTAGCCCT